ATCCTTCATCTTCACTCTTTTTATTTGAAAACTGATTACCATGGAACTTTCTTTTGCGTGGTTTCGATTGTTTTGGTTCGGCGTGTGTGCCTTTCGGATAGGACATTTCGAATTTGCACTGTCGTTTTGTACAGGCCGAACTTCGGAGCTAAACTGAAAACCGGTTCTGCTCGATGCCAGCGCCAACGGACCCAACGGTTTCGACTAAACGTAACAATAGAAATAAAAGCCATCTACCAGGGGTGCGTTCCAAAACCTACAGTAAAACTATAATTACATCTCTATACGTTTTGGATCGCAGCCCTGAAAGGTAAAATCCCCGCTCCGGGTGAGTATACCTGCTGCGTGCTATTAGAGCCTCGACGCTGCTCAAGAGATTTGTTGCGCTCGGAGGCCATAACTTCCGAACGGCTGCGAATTTCGATTTAAAACGTTGGGAACATATTCTTACAATGTTAAATAAACATTTTATGCAAAAAAAAAAAATTCGATTTTTTGAAAGTTCTAATTGGATTTCCCCCCTTAATTTACATATTTTCGCTCATTATATATATTATTTATTTTGTCCAATGAATTTCCTTTACCATTTTGCAATTCATGGCAGCGTTCCGTGATAAAATAACTCGTGTAGTTATAATGTACTATTTTATGAAATAAAACTTACTCTTTCCAAAATAAGGAAGCCCGAATTTAGTTTACTTTTCCATATACGTATTGTTTAACTTATTTATTATAAATTTATTCAAAAATGGACATATCCGTTCATTTCGTCTGGCCATTATCACAGTATTTTTTCAAATCGCGATTTTTTACTAAAAATGGATTGTATTACAGAAATTACGTGTTTCCGGTTCATTGTATTGTACATATGACGTCAACCTAAAGAAAAAGTATATATATGTATAAGCATATTTTTTTTAGATCTTCTAATGACGTAAATTGGTTAAGTAGTTATGAATTAAACAGCATAATAGAAGCCTATATAATAGAAGATTTTAAGACACAAACAAAGATATTTGGCCAAACAAAGTAGTTTCGTAAGTAATTTTGTACACTAAATCCGAATATGACTTCATAATTTGCCTGTCACGTCAGATTTCTGAGATAAATGAGGTTAAAGGTGTAAAAATGGCGATTTTGGCTAACTTTATGCATTTGTTCTAGAAACTCCAAATTTTTTTGTATATTTCTGATAATGTCATCGTGCATAGTACTAGTCTTCCTTTTAAAATTCAGTTTTACTCGTCCCCGTGTGATATTTTGTTCTCGAGATATATTACTTTAAATATATTAAAATTGCAAATGCATATGTTTTCAAGGTACAATATTAAAAATAGTACAATTGGCTAACACATTAATAATCCTAATTTAAGTTTCGGATTTATAGGTTTATGGGTTTTCAGTGCATAGATTTTGAGTTTATGGATTTCGGGTGTTTAGAATATGAGTTTTTTTAGGATTTTCGGCTTTTGAGCTTATGTTTTTGAGCCCTGGGATATTGAAATTTTTGGGTTTTTGAGAATTTAGAATTATTGAGTATTCGGTGCTGTAGGTTTATATTATACCTTGCACACATATTCAAATATCAGAACCAGATCTTATTAATGATTACAATGTAAGCGTAAACGCGTCGCGTGAAGAATGTCATTTCTATTAACATTCCGAATTTCTCGCATCACTACCGATCACCGCTACACTTGAAATCGTACGGTGGCAATTCCCCGCCAGACATTTCCACGGCGAAAACCGCGGGATCCATTGAATCACGAAGCAATCGAGTCTGACGACTGAGTCGGGGATATTCGAGGTCGTTCTTTTCCCGTCTCTCGTTCGCGCTCTACCATTTGTCTTATCCCCGCCCGTGAAAGACTTCGCCCCAAAGGCCGCCTTCGACGGCTCGCGGGCTCACCTCGAACAAAATCATAAAAGTTTCAGCCTATAACTTCGAGACGCGAGAGCTGCGGTCTCTCTCCCTTTTTCATATGTACCCGGGAAGAAGGTTTTCGATGTTAGCTACCTCGTGACATTCCCGATCGCTTTGTTACTCCTCTTTCTCTGTGCGTACACACAGGGAGTTTTAGATCAAAGTAAAAAGTGAACGTCCCACGTACGTCTTTCTAATGAAATCTCCTTTAGCGATAATGAGACCCAATAATTCTCATGTTGTAAACGATTACGGGTCAAAGGTTCCTTTACGAATAAATAACGAAACGATATTCGTCGTCTAATTCTTCTGACAGCAATTCTTCCTCATTAATTCGATATTTAACACATATGTCTAGGGACCGATTTTTCAATGATTATTTAAACTTAGATTTCAATTTAAACTCTGTTTAAACAAAATAAACGTATTGTTAGAAAAGAGTTTAAACTTGAATTCAAGTTTAAACTGCTATTTAAAAATCGCCCTTAGAGCATCTTAATCTGACATATTGGGATCATTTCCGGCCACGCTTATTTACATTCTGTAACACTGCTAATAAAAATCTTTAGAAAATATACTTTCTTAAATCTGTAGAATAGAAATATGTACAGAAGTGATCGTAAATATTCGCTTAGGTATTTTATTTATTTGCAATTTGTATTTATTGCAAGTATAAAAAGAAACGCAATAAAAATGTGAATTTACATGAAACCTTTCTGATAATGAATTTAAAACGTTAACACTCTAAAATTTTCTTTAATACTTGAATCTTTAAAAAAAATAATATTACATATTTCATTTTGTTAAAATATAATTATTTGGATATACGAAAATGCCTTATTTTTTTAAATTTAAAATTTTATTAAAATTATTACAAAGATTAAATTTTTTTTTTTTACAATTAGAATTTGATGGTACAGAAACCCTGATGACATATAATGTAGCCGAAAATAAATAAGCTACTTACGTAAAACTTTTCTTACATATTGTATTTAATATGAAAAACCGCGAAATATAACGAAAAATCATCTTTATTTTATACTTTGATATCTCAATTTGGCACACTAAAGTTAAACACCCTATGGCGAGTTTTCCTTTTTGTTATATGGCAGGCAATTGAAATGGTTCAACTGCGTTTAAACCTCATATCATATTTTCATCAACTATAATTTTTTTATCATGTGAGCTAAAATTCCATTAATTCATTTTACTAGCTTGCAGGTAATACAAAATTAAAAATGAGGTGAGGTCAAAAGTGACCTCCGGGCGCCAGATTAGAATTAATTATTACGATATCAAATATCCACGTTTGAAGAATCGCAACGAATCAACGAATGATGATTACTCACAATAATCTCACTAGACAAATATTTACTTCAAATTTGAGACGAATAGCTATGCCTTATACCTTTCCCTTACGACAGCCTATATATTATATATCTGTATGTGTATATCTGTATTATATATATATATATATATATATATATACACGCACGTGTATATGTGTATCTGTTAGCCTTTCTGATTCTCCTCAACGGCTGAGCATACATGTGCACACAGATTACACACATACGCCTGCCGTCTCGGAGGAACCATGGCTATTAGTAACAGCCGCCGTCTCTGAAAATCAGAAAACTTTTCGAAGGGAGCTTCCCTTCGCCAAAATCAATTATCTACCCTCGATTTCTTTGTTTATTTATTGCACGTGTCGAGATGCCATATCGCAGATTTATAATCGTCGGCCGTGGAAATCTCGGATATGTGATCCTTTACACTGAAGCGCAATTCATTAGGCAAATTAGCAGTAACAATAGCAACAACGTCAACGTTAGGCCGTTCGTAATCATATTTTCTAAATTGAACCTAATTAAAAACTTGTTATTATATATCGTAACATATTAAAAAGTGTATACTTTTCCGCGTACACCGTGGCAATTTATTACGCTTTGTGAATTAGCCGTCTCGCCCTTCCTCCCCCTCGGTTCTCTTCCTCATCCCCCAGTTTTCAGCGGCAAATTTATTAGTTGTTGAATTTATTAGCATAATTTTCTACCGACACGCTAACGAACCCACGCGCTTCGATCCACACGTGATTTTCTCGTAAACACGACGATGTTGTTGCGCTACCGTCTCCGCCGAGTTTTTCGAACGCGTCGTTCGCGCTTCGCACATTCTTCAAGCGGTGTTTGCATATTTAACCAGCGTGAAGCAAGGGCGGGAAGAGGGATCAAGTCCTAAATGTATTTCGTAAAACTTAAATATACAGTTCTCTAAATTCTCTCTCTCACCAGAAGAGCTACGATAGCGGTCTAATTTTGTGAAAACGTAGATTATAGGCAAAAGAAGAAAATCTAGAGGCGGTCTTTCCGAATTAAAGTTCAGAGGTGGCATGTAAAGATGGATAACAAAACCCTGTATCCTTCATTTAAATATAAATGAGCTTCGTTCGCGAAAAGGAATCTAATTACATTGTTAATTACAAAGATCTTTAAAGTTGTAAGCTAAAGACTCGTGAAAGGAGATGGCATTTAATCGAATCGCTGAGGAGAAGTCGACTCCGCGAGTTGGTTGAAGAATCTGTAGATGAGAGGAAACGAGATACACTCGGGGGACACCTTGCACAGAAATTCTCGAACTTTTTTATTGGCGGTGGAAGAGTCAGGTGACACCAAAGGCGACGCGCGCGCGTATATATATATATATATATATATATATATATATATATATATATATATATATATATATATATGTATGTATTTTTCCCTCTTTTTTTATTTTACAGAGCGTGTACAATTTGCTGGGCGAGACGCTGTCGAGGCTGCAACAGTATGCGGAAGCGGAGAGGTGGTTCCAGGCAAGTTTGGCCAGCCAGCCTGACCACGTGCCGGCCCACATCACTTACGGGAAACTTTTGGCACGGAACGTAAGTAGCCGTCGCTTTTAGATCGCAACCACCGCTGTCGCCGTCGTAGCCGTCACTGCCGCGGCCGCCGCTGTTTCATCTTATCGCGATCTACTTCCCGAGTCTGACTACATATTGACCGTTACCACTTGAGAAACTTCGAGCGCGCGATATGCAATACGCGTGATATAAACACACGTATGCCGGCACACACGTATTCGCGCGTATTGAGCGCGCGGAGTCACTCCGTGCCTCCTCTTGACGCGTTCCCTTCAAAACGAAAGTTACATTCGCGTCAGATATTGATCTTTCCGCCGTGGCGAGAAACGATGAATGATAAAGTTCCATCGCGTAGACCATGCGACGTATTTCTCTCTCTCTCTCTCTCTCTCTCTCTCTCTCTCTCTCTCTCTCTC